AGGCATTATTGGAATTTCTGGGACCAGACGCCTATGGTATGCCCCATATCCAAGAAGGGGGTTTCCCAACGTCAAAACGTACTCGCGAGCAGAATAGCTCGAAAAGGAAAGTAATTCGACAGGGGAGTAACCGCATTGTGACGTCTGGTGCCTGTAGGCACCGCCTAATCTTCAGCGAAACCTCTTCGACTCAGTCTCACCATATACTCCATCAATGAATCATGAATCCGATGATATTCTGTTATCGCGATACCCGCTGGTGTCTCTCAGTAATGTTCGTGATGCTTGTACTAGCCAATCTGTACCCCAGACTTCTCAACGCATCTTGGACAAATGTTCGATGGATCATTCATCAACATTATCATCCCGTTATGATTCATTTGGTTCCACTAGAAACGACAATGATGCAGGGAAAAAATTGAACAAATTCAATCTTGGAAAGAAATCAACTTTGCAATCGACTAATATTGAGAGGTACAGCAACAGGGCTACAGCTACAGCAACTGAAATCTCACGATTCCATAATACCACCAATGCATCTTTCATGAATGGAGAATCCGAGGACAGTTGCCCTGAAAATGATTTGAATGGAGAACCACAATCACCATCACCTACATACATCACTATCCATGAGCTGGAACCAGAGTTCGAACCTTTTATTGTTGATTATGTAAGTTAATTATATACTTCTCTCGGTTGAGCACATGTGTCATTATGCCGATAACCAGTGAGTGTAAAGAGACACGTCAAGACACATTTTTGTAGCTAATGAATTATTATCCGCTCACAGAATGACAACAATGATCCTGTGAACAGTGAGGTAAAAGATGGTGAAGCTGCTGATCCGATAATTGACGATACTTCAGGCAAAAATAACAAAAACCAAGGGATTTGTTCACTTGGAGCTGAATTAACCGAATCAGACAAGATTAAAGACAATGCAGCAGAAAACTCGAACCCACTCCCTCATGCAGATCGTGACTATGAACTAAAAATGAAATAATTTGAATTTGAAAAAGAAAAGTTGGCTATCGAGGGATGCAGACACACAGAGCTCCTATCAATTCTGGGCAAAATTAACGAAAACCTTATGTTACTGCTAGAAAAACGCTAATTTCATGATAAAAGTTAAAAAGAAAAAGTTATAAAAAAGTTATAAAAAAATGAAAAAAAAAA